ATATTTTTCTTTAGCCAGTTTTGTTCATAGATCTTTGAAAATTGGGTTAAATTATTTTTCTTATTTTATTTTAATTTTATAGATTACCCTTACGTTCAAGTACAATTTATCCTTGGTTCGTTAAAAAAAAGGAAGGATGGATGGATACAGATGTTAGCGTACATGATTCAAAATTCTATATTGTAGAATTTTCTAAACTCATTCAAGTACAATGCAGTAAGGTTTTAGAATTTTCCAACACTTAGGCATGCATTTGGACACTCAATCACATGCTAAAAATAGTTCTCAAGTGCAATGAATAGTACACACAAAAAAATGGGCATAAAGACATCTCAATAGCTTGATTCCAATGCCAGGACTCATTGGAATTTTAAATTCCACTAGTATCGTCCAAGACTTTGTAGAATCTGATTTGGGGTGAAATTCTGAAAATTGGACAAAAGCTGGAATTTCTACTTCCAATCATGTTTAATGCCAAAACTTATAATAACATGTAAAACTAACGTAATTTAATAAATATCCATTCGTAATGTTATATGAAAATCTAATTTCATGCCCAAATGAAGTGCGATTTCAAAACATAAACATTCCATTCCAATGGATACAGTAGTCCAAGCTCTTGGGATACCGTTGGTTTCTAAATGTGTTTGTTGTGCGGCTTCCTCAGAAGAGACTATTGATCATGTACTTTGTACTGGAGATCTGACCAATAAGGTATGGGATTATTTTGAACTTCATCTAGGGCTTGATTTGCCGTATGTTCATTCTTGGAAAAATAGGATGAATCTATGGTGTTCGAGAGCATCTTCAACATCGCAGCTCGGTATTTTATGTTGTATTGCGTCAATTGCTATTAATTGGGCTTTATGGAAAACTAGATGTGAAGTGCGGCTAGAAGGATTGACCATCCACTGGAAAACGTTATATGGATAGTAACATCATTTTTGTCCCAATGTGTGGGCCTTATTTCCAATGTGAACAGAATTTCGGGTAGAGATGTTCGTTGCCTTAAATCACTTAATTGCTCGATTGCTAGTTTTCAACAAAAACGTGATCAAATGGTAGCTTGGCGAAAACCACCAAACGAGATTATGAAACATAAAGTGGATGGTACAGCGAAGGGAAATCCAGGACATGCGGGAGGTGGTGGAATAATACGAGATTCTAAAGGTCGGTTCATTGCTGGATTTGCACGGTATTATGGTATTACAACAAATATGGCAGCAGAGGTTAGAGCTCTTCAGGATGGGTTGCGCCTCTGTAAAGAACTTGGCTTAAAAAATGTTATGGTGGAATCAGATTCCAAGGTAGTTGTTCAATGGGCAAGGCAAGGAACATGCTCACTATGGTGTCTCCAAGAAATTTGGAATGATATTTTGGCCCTATTTCGTGTGGTAAATGGTACACTTAACCATATGTTTCGAGAGGCCAATTCAGCGGCAGACTTTCTTGCAAAGAAGGCATCACGTGGGAACTCGGTAGAGTATGCTAATTTACATCCTATACCGATATCTCTTCGTGGTTCTTGCGTATGAACCGTTGGGAGTTACCTCATTTTTGACATTAAGTTCCATTTTTTTTTTTTTTTGTTTTATTGGTTGATTTTGGGCTGTAAGGGAAGTAGTACTTCCCCATTTATTTTTTTGCTTCGTTTAAGTTGTAACCACGGTATTTCTCTACCACAAGTGAGGATATATTAATAAAATCTCGGAGGTTCCACCCTCCTTCCACCAAAAAAAAAAAAAAATTTCAAAACACAAACAATATTGACAAGGCAAGGAACATGCTCACTATGGTGTCTCCAAGAAATTTGGAATGATATTTTGGCCCTATTTCGTGTGGTAAATGGTACACTTAACCATATGTTTCGAGAGGCCAATTCAGTGGCAGACTTTCTTGCAAAGAAGGCATCACGTGGGAACTCGGTAGAGTATGCTAATTTACATCCTATACCGATATCTCTTCGTGGTTCTTGCGTATGAACTGTTGGGAGTTACCTCTTTTTTGACATTAAGGTCCATTTTTTTTTTTTGTTTTATTGGTTGATTTTGGGCTGTAAGGGAAGTAGTACTTCCCCATTTATTTTTTTGCTTCGTTTAAGTTGTAACCACGGTATTTCTCCACCACAAGTGAGGATATATTAATAAAATCTCGGAGGTTCCATCCTCCTTCCACCAAAAAAAAAAATAAATAAATTTCAAAACACAAACAATATTGTAAATCCATTATTTTAGTCTTAACCTAGTAGAAATGAAAGTAAATTCTACTCATGGGGACCTTGGATTTTGATTTGATTATCCTCCCCCTAGCTTTTCCACAATCCATGCAATCTCTGCCCATCCACTACTTCTCAATCTGAAAAAATTTCATAGAGTGAGAGTGAGAATAAAGCCCCAAAGAATTTCTTAGGTACTACCCCCTTTAAACAAATATGCATATTCACATGTAGAATATAAAAACTTTATACTATAGACATTTTAACCTAGTTAAATTACATGTGATATCTTTGATTTTGAATAATCCCTTGAGGTTATAGAACCTTTTATTTCATAAAAAAAATTAACATATACCATTCATAACTTGCAATAACAATGTGTACACATAAAATATACATAAACATTCATAGGGAAAATCAAATTGCACCACCTACATCGATCTTGACATGAAAATGAAAAATTCTTTGCCTTAAATAACAAAACTTGTAGTATCTACATATTTGTGTTTCCTTGTTGCAAATAAGCTAAAACCAACCCAATTTAAGAGAAAGTGACAATGAAATTTAGATTTGAGGAGAGATGAGTTACAAAAGTGACATTTCTTTTCGTGTAACCTTCCTTCTTCATGAAAAACTAAATGTAAGATTTGTGGTAATCATAAACCTTGTTAATTTGAGTCTTAAAGTGAGAATTTGAAAAGTATTAACTCCAAAAATAATTATATATAATTTTATAAAAACATATGCATTGCTGACCCAAATCTAATCTATGAAAACTAGTAACCAACCAACGTATTTGGGCTTTTCTTTCCTTGTGTGGGTCTTAAATGGGCCAAATCAACCGAAGCAAGCAAAATAAATTTTGAAAGCTTACAAATTGTTGCCTATTTTGGCTATTATTGTAGGCTGAGTTGAAGGAGAAATTGGGAGGATGTATGAGGGGAAAGATCCAATGCCATATTTGTGTTCAAGTCTAGGACATGAAAATCTATAGTTTTGGCTTCCACGGATGATTCTTTTAGAATGCAAAGAAATACAAACCGAACTAAAGACTCATCCTATGATCTTTCAATGTTTAGAATTCCTAATTATGTTAAATGGTAAATTCCATTCAAGCAATATTGTGTTTTTGTAATATATCCATAGCTTTGGGGATGGTTTGTATTTACTTGTGTGCCGTACTTGGATCAAACTTTTCTTCATTAATGTTTTTTCCTTTACAGTCGGGGCATATGAAATATGTAGACTTCTACTACTATTTTTTTTTTTTATCAATCATCGCGTAACATCAAGGATGTCAGCGTGATCCCAAGGCTTGACTTTCTCATTATATGCACATTATTTCTTTCTTGTTTTTCTTCTACTTGAAAATATGGAGTGAAGTCGTGTATATATGCTTGAATTTTGAGAAATACTTGCATAAAAGTAGCAAAATTAAAATAACATTTTAGAAGATAATGTCGTCATTGATATTTATAATTCTTGATTTTTCAGTCAATTAATATCATTTTATCAATAATATTTTATGTTATATTTCATAATTTGGTTTACTGTCCACAAAAATTCTTGATTTGTCAATCAATCCTTACTATTTTACCTTTAATATTTTTAGGTAATATTATAATATATAATTTGGTTTATTGTCCACAAAAATTCCATATGACGCGTAATTAAATTAGCGAGGAAATAGTTTTAGTTCATCATTCAAATAACAATTTTTTGGGTTACAATCAATGAATAATAGAATTTTCACTTTCTATAATGCTATAATATTCTAAATTAATGCAAAAATGAAAATTCAAGAACTCAAATTTTTTGAAGAAAACTTCAAGACCTTGCATCAATAATCCATCTAGAATTAATCATTTGCATTGGTAAGTCTTCTTGACATTGAAATTTTGAGTGGAACTTTAATACTAAGTCTTCTTGACATAATGAAATTTTGAATAGAACTTAATAGTAAGTCTTCTTGACATATTCCATGATGTAGAACACCATATTTTTTACTCTGAAATTTTGATAATTTTATCTTGAATGTCATCGCCCTTAGTTTTGTATCATTTCTCTTGAATTTTCGAGCAAATGGACAATTAAATTATTTTTTAAATATAAAAATAACACTATTTTATAACTGGTCTTCACAACAGGATGAACACACGGTCCTTCCGTGTATCTTCGTACCAATTACCCCCTAAATTTGCCTGTAGGATTCCTAATTATAATAATTTGATTGGAGGGGGAATCTAAATTTGTCTAGTTCTTCTTGGAATTTTCTTGGAAGATGGCAAATCTCAATACAATTTCCTTTCAATTCGTTTACTTAATATTAAAATAAAGTTTTGTTAGATTTAAATAATTATCCGACCTCTCACGGACATAGTTTCTCTCTTGTAGTCTACCTAAGTCGTCATCTTCTCAGTTCTTTATATAATTATTATAAATGCATGTGTATATTTGTACAAAGTTGTGTTACAAAGTTGGTTGACAAAATAACATTTACACCAATCATTTTAAAAACAGATTTTTAAATCATTTAAAATCAACGGTCTAGATTTTGACAATACACTTTATAACCCAACTTTTATAATTCAACTTTGTACAAATAACTTTATTGTTATTTAAAACATCAGAGTCACCTTCTCTCTCTTAAGTCAAGCCAGGAGTGGCCTTACGTAAATTGTGGTTTCAATAGAGAAATCATTTGTGTCATCCTTTAATTTCCTCACTTCTTTGGTGGAGGTCTCGTCAGCGGATTCTATCTCCTCGCCGTAGTTGGTTCAGGGCCATGGGAACTCAATTACCTACTCCGGACAACAGGTTCTCCTACAGACAAGATGTAACACTCTATTCTTAACCTTTTCTCTCTATACACAAACGCACACACTATATATTCTCGTTCTGTATTTAAATGAGCACTTAGTACTCATTCAAGTTCTAGTAGCATTTGGAGTGGGAGGTGTACGAGGCCGATAAGAGTTGAGGTAGGAAGAAGATTAATTTGTTTTCTTTATGTTTTCTTTTTGATTTATATTTCTTTATTTCAACTAAAACTTCTCAATAATCTGATTACTTGCGTCATATGATGAGTTTCTCTTAGATTTTTTGTTAGATACTGGTTCAAAACCATAGTGAAAATAGAAGTTTTCTTAAGCATTGGATCTGGATGATTTAAAACACGTTGTAATATTCTAATTTAACTACGCGTGTACAAGGGAATACCATATCATTGAATAAACTGAATTCTTGATTCTTAAAAGGTTTGGTCCTGGATATTGAACTTTTATAATTACTAAACTTAGGTGCATTTTGTTCGTTATTTTCAAACTGTTTTAAGTTTTCCAAAACACTGAAAACGTGTTTGATATGTCATTTCTGAACGTGAATTTTCGAAAACAATAATAAATTTATAAAGTTTATTAGCACAAAACGTACATATGTTTGACATCTAGTTTGCAAAGCGTCCTTACGTTTCAAATTTTTGCATTCACCCCTATTTCCATGTTTCATTGTAAAAAATGTCATTTTCATTCATTTTTATCCAATTCCTCAATTAAAAATTGCAAAATGACAAATATAATCATTGTTCTTTATTTTTCTTTTCTTTACCTTTTGTTTTATTTAAATAGGAAGGTATACTTGTCATTTTACAATTTTTAATTGAGAAATTGATGAAAACAAAGTTTTTTACAATGAAATGTGGAAATGTGAGTGAAAATGCAAAAATTTAAAACATAGGGGACGTTTTGCATGCTAAAGGTCAAACGTAAGACATTTTGTGCTAATAAGCCAATTTATAACATAAAACTTTGAGTGTTTTCAGAAAACAAATGTTTAAATAAAATTTTAATTTTTAAAATTTTTATTAAAATATAAATATAAATTTTAACAAATAAAATTTTCAAATTCTCAAAATAAAAATAATAAATAAATAAAATTGATAAATTCTAAAAAATTAAAAAATATGAAACTTTTGAAAAATGAAATATTAAATTCTAAAAAATTAAAAAATATGAAAATTTTGAAAAATGAAATATTAAATTCTAAAAAAATTATAAAAATTAAATGAACACGGATAAAAATATTCTCAATTCATTTCATTAAATTTTTCATAGATTTTGAACTAAATTTATTATTTATTTTTGTTTTACTTTTGTACCGAGAAAAAATATATTAAGATTCACCAACTTTAAAATATGTATATATTATTTGATTATTTATTAAAATTGTTCTAATAAATAATTAAATTTCATGGAATAAAATGTTATAAAACAATTTTTCAAAATTTCAACAAAACATGTTTTCTAATTTTTTATTGGGAACATTGCAGCCGCAGTCCCAAATCTTTTCGTTTTTTGTAGAGTTTATCTCAGCCTTCACTTTGTGCCACAATATGTTCCCAAACCTTTAAGACATTCGCACCAGAGGCCCATCTGGAGAGAAACCGTCCAAATCACCTTTATTCAACCGGGAAAAAAAAAAAGGATATTTTGACCATTTTAAGGATGGACATTTCCGTCCATACAGTAATTTCCCTTTAAAAACCATGAATAAAAGGAAAAAAAAATCACCATCTTCCCCACCCACGGGACCCCACCCCACCCCACCCCACCCCACACCAAAATCCTGCCTTCTTACAGCTCTAACTGAAACTACTTCTCCTGTGTCAATTGTGATTGAATACCTCCCTTCATTGAGTGACCGTTTGTGAATTTATTATGAACTTTTTCAGTGTCTAATAGAGTAAAAAAATATACTTTAATGTTCAATTTAAAATTTCTTAGTGCTTGGTAGACAATAGACACCTCTATATTAGGTCCTAATCCTTGGCATATTATAGGGCAAGCCTAGAGACTAATGGACCAACTTTTCATCCCTTCTAAACAAAATCTACTATGATGAAACAAGAAATACAGATACAGTACATAAAAATTACTGATTTTTGATGAATAATAAATTACCTTGAATTGGAGGTTGACGAACGAGATGCACGAGAGAAAGCGATAGACGAATGGCTGCCGATAACTTCTTCTTCTAGGGATGCAAAATGGTGGTACTCAGCTTTCCACAATGTTACAGCAATAGTTGGAGCTGGAGTTCTTGGTCTCCCTTATGCCATGGCACAACTGGGATGGTATGTTCCATTTTGGACAACATTAATTGTTTAGTTTTACTATAACTTTTGCTGAAAGAAGTGTTTAAAATTTGTCAACAATGCTTCTATAATATGTAATAGTCAATACATATATATAAAAGTTTAAATTCTTAGTGTGGGAACAAGTTTTATTTACTTACATCTTTAACACGCTCCACTTTCTGGTTAGATTCATTTTTTTCTTGAATTTCTTAATTGTCATTCGTGTCGGTGAGACTCTAAAATGAAACTGCGAATTAATCCGTTTCTGTGCTAGAGAACGTGAGAAAATCTTGTATTCTTTATCTAAAAATCTAGTGAGTGTATGCATCTCTCACATTGAGTGAATCAGTAATCTGTGTTTCATTGCTCGCTTTTGAATTATTCCCTTGGAAGTAGAGAATACAGTTATGTCCATAACACACCAAGTAATTACTCGATACAGAATCATTTGCTTATATTATCAATCTGTATTCTTTATGTTAATCCATACAGCGGGAGTGGACATGGCTCTCATACCTATGTATTACTATAATCTGTGTTGTTTTTCTTATTTTCTGGTTATTATTATTCTCGAAAGTAGGGATTATGGTTTAATCCATAAAATGTTAACTGTCTTCTCAACACTGAATGATTTTTTCATTTTTTCAGGGGCCCTGGAGTGGGTATACTCGTAATATCTTGGATTATCACTTTATACACTCTATGGCAAATGGTTGAAATGCATGAAATAGTTCCTGGGAAACGTTTCGACAGATACCATGAACTCGGACAACATGCATTCGGTGAAAAACTTGGTCTTTACATTGTAATACCTCTACAGCTAATTGTTGAAGCTGGTGTAGACATAGTTTACATGGTTACAGGAGGGAGATGTTTGCAGAGGTTTCATGATTTAGTATGCAAAGATTGCAAGAAGGTTAGGCTAACCTATTTTATCATGATCTTTGCCTCTGTTCAACTCGTGTTGTCTCATCTTCCGAACTTCAATGCCATCTATGGAGTGTCTTTGGCTGCAGCTGTCATGTCCTTGAGGTAGACGACACCCTTTTTGCCTGTGAATTACGTTGAATTTCTCTATATCATTTTTTAGGAATCCCTCTTGAAAATTGTATATTAATATTCACTAAAAGTGCGAGTTACAATACATTATTTAACATAGAAAATGGACATAAATCTCTGGTTTCATGATTTCCAATGATTGATGTAAGATTACTATTACAATCTTTGACCTTGTCATACATCGAAAGAAAAGCTTTAAACTTATGCACGTCAAGCAAAAAGTGTGAAAGTGAGGGGAAAATCGATATGTTGGATTAATTTATCAATAGTTGGTCAATAGTTGCTTTATTTTATGTTATTCATGTAATGTCCAGCCTTATTTTTCAGCCATTTTTTTGTTGACTAATTACCAACCACCAACCACCATATTTACTGCATCCTTTGGAAGAAAATCTACAGCAGCCAACCACCATTCTCTTAGCAACCAACCACCCAAATTAATTGAGACTTGTTGAAAATCTCATCTCCCAGTGGCTATAAATAGAGCTTTAGCTCATTTGTTTTGACACACCCAAGTGAGGAAAGCAATAGAGATAGTAGAGAGAGTTTGAGAGGTTTTTTGATAAGAGTTTGTAAATTCTCTTGTAAAATTCTATTCAAGTAAGAAATAGAATAGTTTTTCCTCTTATAACTCCTCTTTCGTGATCGGAGAATCACAACAAGTGGTATCAGAGCCAAAAATATTTTTCATATTGGTCCTTGTAGTTTTTGGTATTTACAGATTGGTCCTAGAACTTTCAAAATATCTCATTATTTTTTGAATTTTTCTAGGAGTCGGTTTTTGACTAGGGAAGAGTCAAATCCACAAATTTCTATCGTTCCGAACGCAACGGTATACTCTGTTTTGCCAAACTCAAACCCAATTTTGATCAAGCCATTGTGAAGTCAAAATGTCAATGGAGGAATCATCAGGAGCTATGATCAAGCTCACTGCCACCAATTACACACTGTGGAGGCCTCGGATGGAAGACCTTCTCAGTTGTAAAGATTTGTACGACCCCCTGGAAGCTAAAGGTGTGAACCCCGATCCTACCAAGGAGACTGAGTGGAAGAAGCTGAATAGAAAAACTATCGGCCAAATCCGACAATGGATTGATCATAGTGTCTTTCACCATGTGGCACAGGAGACAGACGCATATAACCTTTGGAAGACTCTGGAGGACATGTACCAAGCCAAGACTGCTCGAAACAAAGCCCTGTTGATGAGGCGTATGGTGAATCTGAAGTTAAAGAGTGGAACTTCAGTTGCTGAACACACCAGTGAATTCCAGAGCTTGGTGAACCAACTATCGTCTGTAGAGATGCCGCTCGGGGATGAAATGCAAGCACTTCTACTTCTGAGTTCTCTTCCTGACAGCTGGGAAACGCTAGTAGTATCTCTCAGCAACTCAGCTCCTAATGGCAAACTTACCATGTCTATGGTCAAGGATGCCCTATTTAATGAAGAAGCCAGGAGAAAGGACGTCGACAAGGATCAGTCACATGCCCTTGTCACAGAGAACCGAGGAAGACAGCAAGGAGGCAATCGAAGCAGGTGGAGAGGCAGAAGCAAAAGTAGAGGCAGATCCATAGATGGAAGAAAGCCTACTTATAAGTGCTACTATTGTGGTATGGAGGGCCACTTAAAGAAAAACTGTCGAAAATTGCTACGAGAGCAAGGCCAGAACAGTTCGCAGCCGAAAAATAAGGAAGGAGAGACACTAGTCACTATTTCTGGAGAGGTGGCTATTTGCTCCATTCATGAGGAGACATGTCTTCATGTTTCAAGCCAAGACGCTGAGTGGGTGGTCGATACTGCAGCATCTTACCACGCCACTCCATACAGACACTTCTTCACAACATACAAAGCTGGCGACTTTGGTGCAGTGAAGATGGGAAATACCAGTTCCTCTAAGATCGTGGGAATTGGTGATGTTCAGATACAAACAAATGCCGGGTGCAAAGTAACCCTGAAGGATGTCCGACATGTGCCAGATCTTCGACTCAATCTTCTTTCCGGGATAGCCCTTGACAAACAGGGCTATGATAATCATTTTAGCAATGGCACATGGAAAATGAAGAAATGTTCTATGGTTGTCGCTCGAGGACATATTTGTGGCACTTTATATAAAACTCATGTGAAAATGTGTGCAGACAGTCTCAACATAGTGGAACGCGAGGCTTCTCAAAATTTGTGGCACCAGAGACTCGGTCACATGAGTGAGAAGGGGTTGTCTACTTTGACAAAGAAGGAGCTAATCACTGTTGCCAAGGAAGCTGCACTAGATCCTTGCAATCACTGTCTATTTGGTAAGCAACATAGAGTCTCTTTCAATTTCTCTTCGACAAGACGATCAGAGTTGCTTAGTCTGGTACACTCTGATGTTTGTGGTCCCTTGGAGGTTGAATCACTAGGTGGTAACAAGTATTTTCTGACATTCATTGATGATGCTTCTCGAAAAGTATGGGTGTACTTCTTGAAGACGAAGGACCAAGTATTGGATTACTTCAAACTGTTTCATGCCATGGTGGAGCGTGAAACAGGAAAGAAGCTGAAGTGTCTCCGTTCAGACAATGGAGGCGAGTACACTTCCAGAGAGTTTGATGCCTATTGCGGAAGCCACGGCATTCGACATGAGAAGACGGTCCCACGCACTCCACAACATAATGGAGTAGCAGAGAGAATGAATCGGACAATCATGGAAAAGGTCAGAAGCATGCTCAGTATGGTTAAGCTGCCAAAGCCATTCTGGGGAGAGGCTGTGCGAGTCGCCTGCTACTTAATCAACAGGTCACCATCAGTACCGTTGAATTTTGAAATTCCGGAGAAAGTATGGTCTGGGAAGAATCCTTCATACTCTCACCTGAGAGTATTCGGTTGTTTAGCCTTTGCACATGTATCTAAGGAGCTAAGACAGAAGCTCGATGCAAGGACTACTCCATGCATCTTTATAGGCTATGGAGATGAAGAATTTGGATACAGATTATGGGATCCAAAGACAAAGAAGGTCATCAGAAGCAGAGACGTGGTGTTCCATGAAAACCAAACAATAGAAGACATTGAAAATCCCACAATGTCTCCTAATCCTAAATCCAGTGCCCAGCATATTGCTCCAGATCCAGTACCAGTGCAATTCACCATAGATGATGATGACGTGAATGAGGAAATGCCAGAAGCAGAACATGAGGATGAAGAAGAGGGTATTGATCAGGGGGAGTCACAACCCTCTCCACCAGAAGTCGTCGGATCATCACATCAACCAGATGATGGTGCACCTCCTGAAACCAGTAATCCACAAGTGCGCAGATCTGAACGAGGACGGATTCCATCAACGAAATATTCAGAGTCTGAGTACATTCTACTCACTGATGAAGGAGAGCCAGAAAGCTTCGAGGAAGCACAATCTCATGAAGACAAAGACAAATGGATACAAGCAATGCATGATGAGATGGAGTCATTGCAGAAGAATCAAACATATGAGTTGGTCGAGCTTCCGAAGGGAAAGAAGGCATTGAGGAATAAATGGGTTTTCAAGCTCAAGAAAGACGGAAGTGAAAATGTGGTGAAACATAAAGCTCGTTTGGTAGTCAAAGGATTCCTACAGAAAAAGGGAATTGACTTTGACGAAATTTTTTCACCTGTTGTAAAGATGGCGTCAATTCGAGTTATTCTCGGATTAGTAGCCAGTTTGAATCTAGAGCTTGAACAGATGGATGTCAAGACAGCATTTCTTCATGGTGATTTATGTGAAGAAATTTATATGGAGCAGCCAGAAGGTTTTGAAGTTCCAGGAAAAGAGAACTTCGTTTGCAAGCTAAAGAAGAGCTTGTATGGTCTTAAGCAAGCACCAAGGCAGTGGTACAAAAAGTTTGACTCATTCATGGTGAGTCAAGGCTATAAAAGAACAGCTGCAGATCCGTGCGTTTATATTCAACATTTTTCGGATGGGAATTTCGTTGCTCTTCTATTGTATGTAGACGACATATTGATCGTTGGACAATATGCAATGAAAATCGGCCAGCTGAAGAAGGAACTCTCCAAGTCCTTCGACATGAAGGACTTAGGCCCAGCTCAACAGATATTAGGAATGCACATAACTCGAGATAGGAAGAATAAGAGGTTATGGCTATCTCAGGAAAGATATGTTGAACGAGTGATCAAGAGATTCAACATGCATGATGCCAAGCCTGTCAGCATTCCACTGGCCAATCACTTCAAGTTGAGCAAGAAGTCATGCCCCTCATCCAAGAAAGAGATAGAGGAGATGTTGTTGGTACCTTATTCTTCAGCAGTTGGAAGCCTGATGTATGCAATGGTATGTACCAGGCCAGATATTGCTCATGCAGTGGGCATGGTAAGTCGTTTTCTCTCTAATCCTGGAAAGGAACATTGGGAGGCAGTCAAGTGGATTCTCAGGTACCTGAAGGGTACATCAAAGACATGTTTGTGCTACGGGGGAGCTGATCCAATCTTGGAAGGTTATACAGATTCAGATATGGCCGGAGATCTTGATAGTAGAAAATCTACTTCAGGATTTCTTTACACTTTTGCTGGGGGAGCTGTGTCATGGCAGTCAAGACTACAGAAGTGTGTTGCGTTATCCACAACAGAAGCAGAATATATTGCAGCAGTGGAAGCTGGTAAAGAAATGTTGTGGTTAAAGCGATTTCTTCAAGATTTAGGGATCAGGCAGAAAGAGTATAAAGTACATTGTGATAGTCAAAGTGCTCTGGATTTGAGTAAGAACTCAATGTATCATTCTCGGACAAAGCACATTGACATCCGCTATCATTGGATACGAGAGGTGATGGATCAACAACTGTTGAAACTAGTAAAGATCCATACAAGTGAGAATCCAGCAGACATGATGACAAAGGTGGTTCCAAGAGAAAAGTTAGAGCTATGCAGAGACATAGCTGGGATGGTTATCAAATAACAAATTGCTTCAGATGCGGCTGGAGGGGGAGAATTGTAATGTCCAGCCTTATTTTTCAGCCATTTTTTTGTTGACTAATTACCAACCACCAACCACCATATTTACTGCATCCTTTGGAAGAAAATCTACAGCAGCCAACCACCATTCTCTTAGCAACCAACCACCCAAATTAATTGAGACTTGTTGAAAATCTCATCTCCCAGTGGCTATAAATAGAGCTTTAGCTCATTTGTTTTGACACACCCAAGTGAGGAAAGCAATAGAGATAGTAGAGAGAGTTTGAGAGGTTTTTTGATAAGAGTTTGTAAATTCTCTTGTAAAATTCTATTCAAGTAAGAAATAGAATAGTTTTTCCTCTTATAACTCCTCTTTCGTGATCGGAGAATCACAACAATTCAGTCAAATTTGACGATTATTTATTGTGAATGTTCGGCATATAAGTTTGTTATGGTAATCTGGTATAAGCTATGGAATCCTAATACATTGATGCTATGACATGCAGTTACTCAACTATTGCTTGGGGGGCATCACTCAAGGAGGGTGTACAACCACACGTGCAATACGGCTATAAAGCTACAACCACAGCAGGAACTTTTTTCAACTTCTTCAATTCCTTGGGTAGTGTAGCTTTTGCTTATGCTGGTCATAATGTGGTCTTGGAGATTCAAGCTACAATGCCTTCTACACCAGAGAAGTCATCTAAGGGACCTATGTGGAAGGGGGTGATTGCTGCTTATGTAGCCATTGCAATCTGCTACTTCCCTGTGGCTCTTATCGGGTATTGGATTTTTGGGAATAATGTCAAGGAGAACATTTTTATCTCCTTAGAAAAGCCTGTGTGGTTAATTGCCATGGCTAACCTGTTTGTTGTCATTCACCTTAGTGGGGGCTACCAGGTAGGCACCTGACTGTTTCCTTCAATTGTTTATTCGTCTAAAAAAATACTAATACATTTTTTTTATTTCTATTGTTTCAGATTTATGCAATGCCAGTTTTTGATATGATAGAGTATGTACTAGTAAAAATTCTAAAATTCAAGCCTAGTTGGATGTTACGAATTGTTTCGAGGAACATTTACGTTGGTAAGTACAATTTGTTCTCTACGAATCCTGTATTATACTGATCTGTGGTCTAAATTATATCATCATGTTCCTCACAAGTTTATGCACTCCTAATTGATTGCAGCACTTACTATGTTTGTTGGAATTACCTTCCCTTTCTTCGATGGGCTTCTCGGGATTTTTGGTGGATTTGCTTTTGCATCAACTACATACTTTGTGAGTAAATATACTCCACTGGAAGCATTGCACAAGATAACGAACAAGATCTTAAGGAGCTTTATTCTTTAATCTTGTACTATAATGTCTTCTAGTCTGCCAAAGCAGATTAATAAATGGAGACATAAGACTAATTTTTTCGGTTGTTTTATCTAGTTAAATAAACTCCAACGTATCAAATATGTCAGAAGTGCCATATCATTCTTATTTTGTATTTTATAGCTGAATGTACATCTGTTTTTACACATTCTTGCAGCTTCCTTGTATCCTTTGGGTAGCTATCTGCAAACCAAGGAAATTCAGTCTATCTTGGTTTACTAACTGGGTAAGTGTGAAATTTTCTATCCCAATCTTCTTGAGTTTTTGCTTTGAAAACAAGAAACCTGACTGATTCAATTTCTCAATATGGATTTCAGATTTGCATTGTTCTTGGAGTTATTTTGATGATTGTAGCCCCTATTGGAGGATTAAGGCAGATTATTGTCCATGCAAAGACATACGACTTTTACTCATAAGTTAAAGAAATTTAAGAAATTCGTCGTAGAATTTCTCGAAAACAGAAATAACTTAAGTGAAAGGAATTCTGCCCGTGTAATTAGACGAAGATAATTTTGTGGGGCTTTCCACTGCTTCCAGACTTCTATTTCTGCATTTAATCTATGTGCATAAACTTGTTTTTTCTTACTTTTTTATATGTAATACTCATGTTTGGTCAGGAAGGTTTGATAACACTAAACATTATAAGGGAGAAGAGAAGCTAAAATTTTATTATTATATTGTTTAGTCATATCTAGTATTGTATGCCAAATATATACTAAGTGTGTATAGTTAGATTGAATGCTTGTATATTGTGTATTAAGATACATGAAATAGCAGAGGTCAAGTAACCATATTTGCAGTGCTAATTAAATACAGGTATAATATCTTGTTCAATTAGAGAACAAAAAGATCATTATATATTAGTATATCATGAGGCTACCCTTCTGTTTCAACAACTCGTATGTATCACATTTGTCTTTAACTTGTTGAAATTATATTTGAAAGTGCATTAACACAGTACCTGAGTTCTGAGCTCTAATCAGACTTGTTACATGGAAAATCATTGTATAGTAGATGATAGCAAATATTGTCCTAATGAAAGTATATTAGTTTAGTACATAAAATTAATTGAATTCGTGACTGCTTTTCGTTGAGACTTCTCTTCTAGAGCTCAGTAAAGCATGAGAGGAAATAATGCCCTGACTATCAAATCATTTAAGTGTAAGTGTTATACCCTACGTCAAATCAACTTTTGACATAAGCACCTTTAATGATATAATCGATGCATATTTATGGCAAGATCTATTATTTAATTGGATTAATATTCTAATAAATTAAATAATAGAATCCGTAGATTCAAGTCTTGGTGATTTGTTAATCACAAGGAGTTGTGATTGTGAAATACAAATTACATATGACTGAATCTTAAATCGTCCGTGGTCGAGGTACTAACGAGATATGGATATCGTTATTACGG